GATTTGTGGCTCAAAGGACCAATTTGAATTTAAATAATTATGGAATTTTCCGATTCTAATATTAGTATCCGCTGTATTATGCTCATGACTATGGTCTTAATCTCTTAATCTCTAGAATTTTGATTCTAGATAATTTGTTCCCATCTGTTAAACGTGAGCTGTCGGAGTCATTATCTATCATTAGAAAATACTGAGTTAATCTTTCCTCTGTTTGCTCTGTCACAAAATTCTTCACGCCCGCTGTACTTAGGTTCTAGACTTATAACGGACGAAAATTGTCGCAAATTATGGATCGTGTGATGAATAAAAACTGAAAATCTTAGCTTGCTGAAAGCTAAAACAAGTGTTAAAATTACTTATGCAAACAGCGATAAAATAAAATAACATAAAATTGACCGGGCCCAAACAACAGAAAATCGTACAAAAGCTCGAAACGAATTTTTAATCAGCGATTCTTCCAACGGGCGATGAATAATTGAATATTGAATAATTTTTGTGGTAATGAAATACAGAGCAGCGCTTACCGGCGACGTCACTAGCTACCCCGATCTAGATAAAGGGTTGTATCACGCTCGACACGAAAATAACGGATACGATCGGTTTTCGATAACGTGTAGCTAGCACGGAAACTTGCCTCTTAAAAAATCAAATAAAAATCGGTTGAAATATTTTATGGGGTTTTAAAGAGGTTTCTACTACAAATCGATGAAATGTACACGCATTTTTAAATGTTGTGAGCTATAAGCGTGCGTCACTTTTATTTTTATGATCAACTCTATAGGGTTCATATTGACTTTTAATTTGTACTGATTAAGGTTGAATTTGGGGTAAACGTGTCTCAAATTATATTTACTTACCGACAAAGTTTACTTTAGCAAAACTTTTTACACCCAAAGAGAACAAATTCGTAAAACGTGGTCCTTCAATCTCTAGTCGATTGATTTTGAAACTTAAGAGTCATGGACTTGAAACTAGATTTAAATGAACTGATTTATGATCATACTATCAAATATAACAGGCGATATAAGCTCTAGTTCAATAGCTGAATTCATAAAGGCAACACTAGATACTAATATAACAGTAACAGAAGCTGATACTTAATAGCTCAATAGGCCTTTATTTAGATATATCGATAACCTTTAACAAGTAGTTTAGTGGATATTTGGTTATCATACAATTAGGACCATCTAAAACTATTTTGTGCATAAGTTTTAAGAGATATTTTTGCAAGTTGTATGTACATATTTGCACTAATATGTTGTAAAGGAAGCATAGCAGTATTTTTGCAATAATGATTGGTTACTATAATGACTAGGTTCTCGCGTGATACTGAAAAAAGCTCTAGGTACTAGTTTCGAGTTACAAAGGGGCTCTTCCTCATTAGCCAGCTAGCAGAGTAGGCTACGCGTCATCGGTAGCGACCGCGCACGCTGCTCATAAGGAAGAGTCCCTCTGTAATTCAAAACTAGTAAAGCTTTTCACAGTATATTTACGTGAGTAATTCATCGTTTTTAGTTAATTCCATATGTCTCACGATAGTTATTATAAAAACATAGTGATTGTTGTTATGTACCTTGCAAATATCACATCGATAACCATTACATTATCTAAGCAAATAAAACCAATACGAAACCAAACACAAGTAAAGAAAAACAGCTTAAAACAGCGGCGACCTCAAAGACGAGTGTAGGGTTAAAGTCTTTTCTTAAAATTGAAAGCGTGCTAGGTAGCCGCGGGGTAATGCGATCCTCACACAAATCGGCATTACGACAAAGCCTTGTCTTAACCGCCCATCGCCGCCAATCATATCACCAGTTATTTAAACTGATGGTCCTTTTTGGTCCTTTGAGCGGCGTTTTGGAATCGTATTAATGGTACTGAAGATGATTGTGTGTTCGTTAAGTATTGAGGATAGGTTTGTAATTATTGTGGTTGTATTTGAGAGTAACGTTAATATGTTTAATTACTTGTCCAGAATATACTAAATTATTTTTAATGTTTTTCAGGGCATTCTAGAGGCATATTCATGAGTAGCATTTCGCCAAACAATACCTGAGTAAGCCGAAAAACATAATGATTAAACTTGTCCCGGATTTAGTAATTTGATTTTAAAGAAGAACCAGTATATCAGTCACGTATGCTCGTACTTTTATAGTTCTTAGCACAACATTCAAACACAGGGATTAGGGCGCTGATAAAATTAAATGTATTTCTATCCAACGGAAGACTTTATGGCAAAATTACGAATCAACGCTTTCCGAGTTCCGATCTGTGGAAAACTATATTTCGGTACATTTTATAATACAGGATTTAGCATTAAAATCACATCTATCAAAGTTCTAACCATAACAAGAACGGCGTAAAAAAATGGAAAGGAAATATCTCCGAATGGTCCACGATTTGAACCAACACGTGGGATTGGTCCTTTAGCCCACAGCAGTAAAAACTTTGATAGAAAAATTTTGTTCCCATTAAAATGTTAACAGAGTCACGGCGGCCTAAAATTCGACTGAATTTTCTGCTTTTTGTGTTTCAAAATACACAAAACAAAAATCGTAGTAGGATTGTGTGTTAGAAAAAGTAATATTATGGCTGTTTTCACTCAAAATATACACTAAAACTCACAACAAAACAGCTCTGTTTAAGTGTAAGTCAGTCACTGTAATTCTTGTTCTTGATTTCAATTATTTTCTTGTTGGGTTGAGTAAAAAACCTTTGTAATTTTTTACCAACTAATCGCAAAGACGGAAGTTTCATTGTCTTCCGATTGGCAAATGTAACTTCGTGTAATTTCCAATGATTTATGGGATGCTTATTTTCGACAGTAGCAGGTTTATAGTCATTTATGGTCGTGTATGTTTATTGTAACATCAAGTCATTCGTCATTTATGTGACTTATCGTAAAAAGTTTACGATTATTTGTTTCCGTGTTCTCAAAATATATAGAAAGGTAAAAGTGGATGGATCATAAAGTGGAATAAACTGTCGCTTCCTAGAAATATGTATACAGGTCCTTTAGCTAGGCAGCTTTGTTTAAGGTTCAGTTTACTTTTTGGGACGAATGTACAAAGTAAAGCATGTTCTGAAATAGCTCTATATTTTCTTTATTCCACAATATTTTGCTACCATTTCCTCAAACTGAAATTATCCTACTTCCAATTTATGAGCGGATAGATTCAACGCTCTTAGAAACATTTCTAAACATTGTCATTACCATAAAACGGTAAGAATGTAATAAAAGATTGCCTCGACAAATGAAATAGCTATTTTTCCAAATGTTTCGTTAAAATATCTTTGTAATGCCAGCAAAAAAGGACCACGACGCACTTTCCGAAATTGAAACGACGTAGCCGACCGTTGTGTTCGGCAACTTTTCATGCCTAGTCAGACCCTAATGGAAATGACAAGTCTAATGTAACAAGTAACAACTGAAAACATCCCGTTGGACGGATGTAACAAAGCATTCATTTTCTGATGGCGGTAATCTCGCCGAAGGGCGGCATTGTTCGTCATTTTCTCTACGGGCCTATATTTTTTTTCGTATTTTCTTTTCGAAAAGAATAAAAATTGTGAACAGTATTGTCGCGGCGGAGGCTCGCACCGTGATCGCGCAAAAAGGAGCCCTGGATGACAACGAAATGACGGGAGCGTCCGCGGGTGGCCCCCTCCCCCCTCTTGTAAAAATGTCGCCGAGGGAGGGGCGGCGTGCCTACGACAAGACGGCATTTTTACACACCGCCGCCGAACCGGCAGATCGTATATACCGATTTGGGATCAACAGAAATTGAACCGTGCCACATGGAGCGAGACCTTACATCAGCTTGGTGACGTGCTACTTGACTTTTTAAAACACGAGCCGTGTTTGCGATAAATCGATAAGTATATACGGTACACGCCAGCGGCAGAGGGTACAAATTGCACGGATTTTACAGTTCTTTGTGTTGACACGCCAGGGGTGGGGTGTTTAGTGGTTTCCGTCCGATGTTTTAGGAAATATGAAATTTTTAGCTTTAATTCGCATACGACTTTTTCGGAAGGCTGTTGAAGACCCTTATCCCTTTTCGCTTTACAGATTTTTCAGGGGTACATTTCCGTCAACGGAATTTTAGGGGCTTTCTCCGAATTTTATTTGATTTGGGAGGAAACACGAAGTTAAAATACTTTAGGGATAAAGCTACGGCACGATGTTAATTGGGGTCTTAAAATACTTGGTCCATCCAACATCTCTAATAAAATTATGAATGACACGTCTCTTGCTGAGGAAAAGATTGTAATTGGTATCAGTAACTATACTAATAAACACTTTCCTTGATACTGAATGTGAAACAACTTTGTTACATACATATGTTTGAATTTAATTCAAGATTAAAATGTCTTAACATAGTTGATGAAAACTGCATTACGCATCACAGTGCTCATATCGCAAATCTTTTCAAAGAGTAATTTAGTAGACATGCTGAAACTTCACCTTAGATATAGGATTGCCATCACTTTAACCCTTTGAGTACTATCATTATAGACACAATTAAACAACAATAGGTTGCGGTCACCGGTGTCCTCGCGGTGTTTGACAATTTAATTCTATAAATAGCATAACAACACAGAATTCATTCAACCACTTCATCTCCAAAGGATGTCTAAAGGAACCCTGAAACACTATACCAATGTAGAAACTCTGATTTCTCTAACCATTAATACTAAAGACTGTCTCGTTGGCCGAGTGGCCGTAAGTGCGACTGCCGGGCAAGGGGTCTCGGGTTCGATTCCCGGGTAGGGCAAAGTATTACTGGGTTTTTAAAAAAATCTCAGTAGTAGCACGGAATCTGGAATTTTGCCCGGTACATGGCAATAGGCTCACCCCCTATTACATGGGACTCATAACATAAATAGAGAAAAGTGGGTGTTACATTGTACAGTGACATAATGTACACCTCTGCCTATCCCTTCAGGGATAAAATACGTGATGTTATGTTATTAATACTAAAATCTCCTTGTTACAGAACAATTAGGCCAAACCCAAGCGCAGCATTACTTCACAAAATACCCTGAGATAAAGAAGGACGGAGTAGCAGACTACATCAGCAGTCCAATCCACCAGAAAACTGATGCCACGCCAGAGAAGCTATTCAGCAAGAATAATTTTGGTAAGTTCTTTTTTAAATGTTGCCCCACACTAGGATTTTCTCCTGTGTCATGGGTGCGTTAACAAACATACAAGTTGACATACACGTGACTCCCAGACCCGGAACAATAATCTGTGGATCACACAAAGAGTTGTTCTGTGCGGGAATCGAACCCGCGACACGTTACGCAGCAGCCACTTGCCCAGCCACCGCACCAACCGGGCAGTTGAATTGACTTGTTCTCCACAACTTGGTCCTTGGTAAATGAAATGGATTCGTTCTAATATGGTAAAAAAACTATGTTTTTACACATAAACTTTTTCTCCAATGCTTTTCATATTTACTTTATTGATTTGTAATAAAAAGGTAAATAGCACGCTATAACTTGACGCTCTTAAAGCTTACAATTTTTGCAATATAACATGCGCCTTTTTTGTGTTATTATGAGACCAACTGGGATAGTAGTAGTAGATATCTTCGAAACTAAAGTCCCTTATACTTTCGATTACATTTTTTTAATTTTAATACTGACTGTGGAAGGGACTAATGCCCCTTCGAAAGTATTGGAAAGCCTTCCTAATGGAAAGCACTAAATTTGAGTAAAGCGAGGAGTTTTTACTACAAGTGCTGACTAATGTACAAACTAAGAACCATGTAAATTAAATGAATAATATTATTAAGTAAAACCAATTTGTTTTTTATTCTTCGTAAATTTGTAAGACATATAAGGCTTTTTTATTTTACTTTCGAAGAAAACGTCCGTTATCTATGCATCTAATTCTGGACCAAACTTTTAAAAATTTTCTTGTGACATACATAAACATTGAATGTGACATAGGACCACAAATTAGAACTTAATGATACTACACATAAGACATAAGTGTTGAAACAGACTAAAGTCTAAACTAAGTGTTCTTCTTTTTGCATAAGTAATGGTTTTTATGATTCTTTTATAAACTACGTTTAAAAAAATCGGCTTCACCCCTGTATTTTTTTGAAGTCGGTTAATTATTATACATCTCAATCATAAAAACCTTTTCCTAAGTGTAACAAGCACTTTTCTAAAAACCGCATCAAAATCGGTTCAGTTAATCGCGAGATACACACACACACACACCTACTGGTCAAATTGAGAACCTCCTTTTTGAAGTCAGTTAAAAACACTTTTTATACCCTGTTACACCAAATCTATTCTACTTCAACGATGCTCTGAAAATGACTGAGAACATACCTTCAGGCAAGGACAAATCAATTCCATTCATACATCGACCTTTTATAATAACTTCCTACGCTGACATCAAGGGAAAGATTTATATTATTCTCAATTTCTAGCATTTATACCGCGTACCAAAGGACCAATTTCGCACTCGATTTTGTTACTGACTTTGTTGAAGTGACTGTCTCCATTGATCGTGGCTGCTGAGTACGAGTTTCTTTTTCGTCTAAAGTAATCGAAACGAGACTGCCTTCAGCTCTCCGATTGGTTAGTTCATTGAAGCCAGCCAATCAGAGCGCCGAACACGTACTCGTTTCGATTACTTTGAACGTGAAACAAACTTGTACTAATGCCTCTGGTACAGCCAAAACATAATTTTGTAACATTTAAAAGTTGGAGTTTGGTTTTGTATCTGTTGTATGGTCATAGGCTCGTCCCCTTCCATCATCATATTAGCTACAGGATATCCACTGCTGAACATAGAAATGAAATGAAATAAGTTTATTCGGCATAAGACATGCACGCCAGAAAAGACATATAAATATAAAAAAGTATAAAAACAGAAAAATTAAAAGTTAAATTATAAAACTAAAACAAGCCAATAATTCAGGTGCGCGGTGTTGGCGGACATGTCCAATCCGAACGGGTCACCAACTCAGCATAAAGCTGGGCACAAGGCTTCTCTCAATCACTCCCACATCTTTCCGTGGGACTAAAATCACCCAAATATTTCTGTTTCATCTAACGAACGTCTACCCCTTTGCGCAACAAAATGCATATTACTAAGTTCATTAAAAACTTTCGCATATAACTCAAGCACGTAAGTACAAACACATCCGTGAACGGGCGACGCACGCGCTTACTTGCCCTTGCGCATCGCCATAGTCTCACGTATTCAGCCAAGCTAATGCTGCTAATGAAAAACAAAAGACACGCATGCTTTAGTTCTTACGACTATAGTGATTTGTAACCAAGATGAAGACCATTATCTTTAAAGAGAAAGTGTAAGGAGTATACATTGATTTATTAAGTATTTGTTTATTACTACCACTTCCGCGCGGTTTTACACGCTCTGCTCAGCTCCTATTGGTCGTAGCGTGATGTTTTATAGCCTATAGCCATCCTCGATAAATGTGCTATCCAACACAAAAAGAATTATTCAAATCAGACTTGTAGTTGCGGAGATTAGCGCGTTCAAACAAACAAACAAACAAAAAAACAAACTCTTCCGCTTTTTAAAATTGTATAAGACTAGCCTCTGCCAGGTGCTTCGCCCACGGTCTCCATGGAATAAAAATAGCCTATCTGTATATATTATTAGTAGAATAGAATAGTTATTTAGTATTTACGACTCACGACTGCCTCCTTGGCCGAGTGCTCGACTGCCGAGCAAAGTATTACTGGGTTTTAAAAAAAAATTCAATAGTAGCACGGACTCTGGAATTGTGCCCGGTATATGGCAATAGGTTCACCCCCTATTACATGGGACTCATAACATAAATAGTGAAAAAGTGGGTGTTACATTGAAGAACAGTGGCGTAATGTGCACCTCTGCCTATCCCTTCGGGGATAAAAGATGTGATGTTATGTTAGTTATTTACACACACGATATACGGTAGATATTGTATACAAAAACATTAACGGCTGGTTTATCTGTTGGTCACTTTGCTAGTTAATAAGCTACATACAAAATGTGTCCAAATTCTGATTAAAATCTCACTACAAGTTATTATAAACCTAGTGTATATTCATGTCGCGGAGAACCTAATGGGTTACCGGGGCTCCGGCTCGACGTGCAGGAGAAGGAACGGGGTTGTTTTAGTCAGTAAGAGTCTGACACTCCCTCCCGCCTCACCCAGCCGGGAGAAGCCATTCGATGATTTTCCACCTTTAACTCGTCGAGTACCGTATTTATAGACACAATTAAAGAACAATAGGTTGCGGTCACCGGTGACCGCTTGGTGTTTGACAGTTTAAAAAAAGTGTATATTCATATAAATCTGAGTATACAAGAACTGCACATAAAAAAGTATATTAAGTATATAAACATCATCAGTTATTAATACACATATATATATAATCAAATTAATTTATCTTCAAAAAGGAAAAGTACAGATAATTTTCCAGTCGTACCCGCTTAATGAAGACCTTCCGCATTACGTAGTAGGTACATGATAAGTAGGTACATATTAAGTGAAAAAATCGCCGTAATATGATTAATAAATATGTTTTACGGACGTCCCATATTCAGAGCAAAACTGCTTCGCCCGCATTGTCTTACGAAAAACAATAGCGGTTTTTTTTGTATATAATATGTTTGATGGGCCGAACGTTTGACCACTATCTCCCCTGGTAGTAAGCGATGATGCGGTCTACGGTGGCGCACGTCGTCCCATAACACTCGGTCCTTGAAGACAACCAGGTACCCTTCAGGAAATACAGACTCTGGCAAAGAATTTCTCTCCTTAGCAGTACGCACAAGAAAGCTTGATGCGAAGCGCTTCATACGTGTGAGTGGGATATTTACCACGAATCGGTGACACTTTGCCGTTTATCACTACTCTTAACTATCTCCAAACATAAAATCATACCATCAAAACACTCTAATGCCACGTGAAAGTAAACAATACACACAAACATTTTCGCATTTATAATATTCGCAAGAATATTCTAAAGGCGATCAAAAATGGCAACTTTATACCTCACACATTTTACACGCATCACTTCAACTCCCGCCTAAATGAACAAACATTCCCAAAAAAAAAACACACGCAATCGTACGCAAAGGCATCGCGCTCATTCTGCCCGAATGCCTTTCCATATTCAAATTATCAGATCTGTCGATCAAGGCGCGAACAAAACGCCATTATGCTTGTAAAATTAAACGTATTAATAGTTATTACAAATGCTCGGCTTTTGTCAGAAGTGTGCATCTGTCTGTCTGTTCGTTGCCCGATTGTGTAGAAGTGGGGTTATGTTTCATTGAGCTTTTGTGAGATGTTATCTACCACAGGATAACGGTAGCTGACTATCTGGTATGTTTGTATTACCTTTATTCAGTTACAAACACGTATGGGATGATGTCTGTTAGATAAAGCAAATGTTGCGCACATAGGGTAGTTGCCAGCGTATGAAAATTAAAAATCTAATTAGTCCGTCAGTTAAATAATGAAAAAATATTAGGTACGTATTTTTTTACTTCCTCGTGTAAAGTTACAATACTAAGCTAAAATTGCGTTAAGTTTATAAGTCGTCACACGATATTTTAAATTAATATATCGTCGAAAGTATTTAATTTTGAGAGAAAAGAAAACATACATATCTAATGTTTTAAATTAATCTACCAAACGGGCATTAAAATAAAATTTAGGAAACTACCCTATCTATTATAGAATGTTAAAGGTCATTCTTTCCAGGCTCAATGCAAAATTAAGGCATTATTATAGTACCTAACCACGGATAGGGCCCAATAGGGCTGATGCTGATTCGGAGTCGCGGAGAACCTAACGGGTTACCGGGGCTCCGGCTCGAAGTGCAGGAGAAGGAACGGGGTGGTTATTAGTCAGTAAGAGTCTGACACTCCCTCCCCCCTCACCTAGGCGGGAGGAGTCATTCGGTGATTTCCCCCCTTAAAAAATTTCAGTACCTAACACCTAAGTACTTTTTATATAAAGTTGGACACGTTTTATCAAGTGTGGCAGAGCCATGCTTCGGCACGAATGGGCCGGCTCGACTGGAGTGATACCACGGCCTCACAGAAAACAGACGTGAAACAACGCTTGCGTTGTGTTTCTTCGTGTGAGTG